TCAAGCATAAACACAATTACTTGACATTAAGTTCAATTAAACCTCTTTTTCCTTGATTTTTGACATAATTATTCCTGTTTTGATTCCATCAATCTCTTAGCTCATTCCTATATAATTTTTCATGTAGAATTGAAATATCAAATATGATCTTACAAAATCACACTCCTCTCTTTTCAATTCATTTTGGCTGAATAGGGGTAGTATATTTTCTAAAAATTTTATTTTTGATTCTAATTATTTTAAACATCTTCTCTTAGTGTTTTCCTACATAAAAATACCTTTTAAACTCATTGGAATCATCAAATCATAGCAAAACAAATTCCTACCATAAGAAACCATAGTGGTCGAAATATATGCCATAGGACCCTAACTATGATTTCTTCCAAAATTCAATCCAAACACCACTTAAACATGTGAATTCAAGCTTATATTCAAGGCTTCTATCCTTCCCTAACACATATTCAATTCAGCCAAAAATGGATAGCACAGAACCTGAAGATTGTGTCATGAAATTTTAACCAAAACAAGCTTGAATCTTAACAAAAACAAAGCTCAAACATACCTTGATGAATCCTTGGCCAAAGCTTGGTAATTCCTCCTTCAAATGCACTAATTGAGACTCACTTTTCAGTTCAAAAAATCAGTTTGGCAGCACCTACCCTCTTTTGTCAATTTTCTTTTGGCTATTTTAGTGTAATCATGAGGGTATTTATAGAGCAAGAAATCTAACATTTTTACCCCATTAAGGTGTGATTTTTCTGCCATTTAGGAGGTCACTTGGCTACCATCAAACCCTCCAATTTTCAGATCATGCCATGTGTCCATATTCTAAGAATATTCTATTGATTTTTATATGAAAATTGGGCTTAAATCCATTTTAATTATTGGGCCAGGTTTGCACAAATTTTTTGGCCTTCATTGGCCCAATGTAGGGCCCATTTTTATCTGGAATGGTCCAAAATTTGGCCCACAATTTAGATATCAATTCCGAACAATAATAAAGCTTATTGATTACTATTCACTTGTAATTTTTCATAATTTTTCTAGACCTCCAAAATTATATTTTTCTCCATGAAAAATCCTATTTTAATATAAGAATGTATTTTGAAAAGGTATAGGATTTTTCTCTAGCTCTAACTATTTATTTTGAATTTTCAATTTTTCCGGAATAGAGCTTTATCGATAAAACTTTTAAAAATAAATTCCCTCAAATAATTTCCTATACTTTCAGGGCTTGAAACCAATTTTATAAATTCCAATAAATATTTAGATAATTATTCTATATTTTTTTCAGAATTATTAAGGCCTCTAAATGATTATAATAATTATTTTTACTCACTTTCTACTATTTTTTCCAAAAAACCTATTTTTAGGAAATTATGTAAATAACTATTTTCATACCATTTTCACCTTTAGGGCCTCTATTGAAATTCCAAAAATTCTAATTTATCTTTTTACTATTTTCTAAGATTTTTCTAGAATTTTTTCTAAATTTTTCCATTGTGTCCTTCTTGGATCGATAATTTTAAAAATATCAATTTAGATCCTATCTGGATTTTATGTCATGTCTGGCTTTGTCAGCTAGTCTATCTTTCATATTGGCCCTTGAATTGATTTTTCATATCCATTGTCAAGGTTAATTTTTGTACGATGTGACATTTTCTTCCCTTTTAAATAAATTTCGTCCTCAAAATTTACATATACCCTAGATGAAGAGTTTCAAGTGATTGCTCTGCATGTCATCTTCCTTTTTTCATGTTGTTCTTCATGTGTTAAGCTATCCTGGATCACCTTGACTGTTAGAATGGTCTTGTTTCACAGCTGCTTAATCTGTTGATCTACAATCTTTATCGGCTTAACCTTAAACATCAAATTATCTTGTAGCGCGATATCTTCATATTCCAAAATATAAGAGAGATCTGGTTGGTACTTTTTCAGTTACGAAACATAGAAGATGCCATGTATCTGGTCAGGATTAGGGGATAGGGCCAATTCATAAGCTACCTGTAACATTCCATTTTTTTTTCTTTATCTTATTATAGGATTTTGGTTATATGGGTGAGATTAATTCATAATATTTAATATTAAAGCTTATTGAATAAATTGTAAATCATAATTTCTGTGATATACATATAAATTATATAAATAAATAAATAAAAATTTTAAAAAAAATTATTATTATTTTTATAAAAAAATTAAAAAATATATATAAATAATAAAAAGGCAAGTGCAGGCACGTGGGCCACCCACTGCCAGCGGGAAGGAGGGTGTTGGGCTGTGGCCTTCTTTTAATTAAATTAAAAAATTGGCACGTGGGCCACCCACTTTCAAATGCTTCCCCCTCCCCTTTATGCCTCGCGTCGTATTCCTTTGGTCCATCGTCCTGTTCGTCCGCCGTGACAGTGAGTGACTGTGAGAGGTAGATTGAGGGTGTGAGAAAGGAAGGACTCTACTTGGGTACATATAAGATATTTAAGTAAGCTATTTTCATCCTATTATTTTTATTTAACTTTTTCTTTTTCATTTCTGTAAATTTATGGCTGAAAATAAAGCCTATTAGGGCTTGTTAGATTTTTAATTTTTAATGTTTCTAACTTATTTTGATGATATTAAGGGAGCTTATGGGGTTAGAATAGAAGCCTTATGACTTAGATTTTTAGTTGGATGATTGATTTGACACAATATAAGTTAGGATTTGGTTGGAAAATTATGATTTGTATTAATGATGATATTAATTTCGAAATTTATCTCTTAGTTGAGTTCATTTGAGGTTACATTGAGGATCCAATGCTTAAACTTTGAGGATTGTTGTTGAAATAGTAATGTTGATGATTCTTGGAGAGACTTTAAGTAGTGGAAATTGGGTGTTTGGAGTAAATTGAGGAAAATATTATAAGTTATTGATTCTAATGAATGGGAAATGATTAATGGAAGAAGGGAATAGGATTGTAATAATGATTGGAGGCATAGATGGTACATGATTATTTTTCTAAGAGTTAAAGTAAACACTTTTTGGAGACTTTTGGATGATTTGAAGGAAATATTCTTATTAATGATGTGAATGAGAGAAATAGAGTTGAGAAGTATTAGGAATTGTCACTTGGAGGAATAGATGAATTATTATTTTTCTAAAGATAATTTTTTAAGCAAGCCAATTATGGGGATTTAGTTAATAAACTATTTTAATGCTGTATTAATTAGTCTTTTTATTAATATATGTTTATCAATTTATTATTGTAGAGTGAGCTTGGTTTGGGCTCTTGGGTTTGAATCCTCCTACTTTTAGTTCTTGTGTCAAGAACTTGAGGTAACCACTTTCTAATTTACCTTGTATGCTTGTTGATGTGATTATAAGCATGTGTTGATATTATAAATGTTATCAATATGTGTTATGGTGATTTTCGTATGAAAAGTAATTTATATATCTATATCAAGATTTATATTTCGTTAAATTTATTAGTTAAGTGGGCATGAATTATTTCATCTTATGAATATCTTGTTGATGTTGAACAAATTTGATTATTGAATCTGAGAATACTTTATGGATATGAAATTGTGTGGAATTGGATGGTTGGATTGTGCTGTGTTGGTTGTGCTAAAATGTAGTTGTGGGAGGTCTGATTATTTATACCACGTGGTATAGCCGCCACTTGGCGCCCAGTGGTTGGCATTAACATTCTTAGGGCCCTCGGTATCACCCTTCCTTTGGCCGGGTCAGGGGTCAGCCCAAGGGACATGACACCTTTCCATATTCTAAAGAAAGGGAACCCATGGTCCGATATGAGCTCTGTAACTTTTGACCGAGTTACACCTCATTATTGGAGAGCTTGGTGCAGTCTTGTAAAAGAGACGAATCCTGTTATGTGTGAATAGCCCATGGGTTCTGTCAGAGGTTACAAGGAGGTTATAAGGATGGTTGATGAAGTTCTATGCATGCAAGTTACTTTTTGAATTATTATATATTGTTTTCTGTAAAGATGTTTAACTTATATGTTATTTGAAATTGTACTTTGCCCGCTTAACTATCTTGTAATCACTCCCTGGATACTTGTTGAATTGGAATTGTGGTTACTGGGTCAATTTGACTCACCCCGTGGTTATTTAACATTTTTCAGGCGAGGGTTCAGGTGTTGGTCCAAGGGGAAGGTGTCCGAGGCTTGAGTTTTCCTTTCCACTCTGTATAGCCTCTGTTTTGGTATACATGATTTGACTGATGTATATTGCCAAACTTTAGGGCCTTTTTGTTATACTTAACATAATCATAGCCTTTCCGCTGCATTCTAGACTTGTACTATTAGGCGGAGCCCTTTTTGGACATATGTGATTGTTATTGTGATTGCAATTGATAATGGGCAGTAGTGGTAGTTATTTTGGTGGACTTCAAATGCCCTAGCCTATTTACAATTGGTCTTAATTGTATTTGAGATTCCAGAGTATTGTTAATGGATTTGATATATACATGAAAAATCAAATGTTGATCCTTTCTGATTTGATTAACTATCTTTACTATTCTAGAACAGTAGCTACTACTCTGTTAAAGATTTGGATTGTTATTGACTATGGTAGATTTCTATTTGATTAGGTGTCCTTCCTACCATGGTTAGCCTTTTAAAGCAATTATCGTTTTGAAAATGTTTATTTACCATGAATTACGGGGGTTGTTACAAACTTGGTATTCAGAGCCTCATGTTTTTGGCTTTCTTGTTCCAATTTCATTATGGCATATAGTTGTATTGGCAATATACATTGATCATACATGTGCTTCCCCTTTATTATTAGGCTTTTTCTAAGTTTCTCAAAGCCTTATCGTTTCTTGGTTTGTTGCGTCCTTTAGGAGGGGAGAGATGGTAGATACACGTAGGACACAGCCGGCTAATAATAATAACAACCCAGACCAACCTCAAGAGCCCCTAGACAATGAAGCATTCTTAAGGGAGCTAAGGACATTGGTAGTCCAAATCAGTCAGCAAGTTTAGAGACATGAGCAACAGCTGAATGAAATGAGACAGGATGAGGAGCCCGTCCAAGAAAATGGGCATATCAATGTTGATGAATCAAGTGGCCATCGTTCCGAAGAAGGTCACCACACTGTTATGGAGACTGGGGATAGTAGTCAGCATGAACAGAAGAAGGAGCAGCCTATTAGTGATGTATGGAGGAATTTCAATAGGTGTGATCCGCCAACATTTAATGGCACCTTTAATCCCTCTAAGAGTGAGGCTTGGATCGATCGTTTGGAAACTATCTTCACCTTGGTCCCATGCACCTCACATCAAAGGGTGCAAGTGGCGGTTGTACAACTTGTTGATGCTGCTAAGAGATGGTGGGAGAGTGTTAGACCATCTGATGGCACTTTCCCTACATGGGAGGTGTTTAAGGAGATGTTCTTTCAGCAATATTTTCCTTCAGCACTCCAATCACTGAAGGAGACAGAGTTCTATGCTTTTCAGCAAGATGACATGGATGTGGATGCTTTCATTGCCAAATTTCTAGAGTTAATTAAGTATACGGCTTATGGACAATCTGAAAAGAATAGTAAGTGGATGGCAGACAGGTTGTTACAGAAGGCTAGACCGAAGTTTAGACGACAGCTAGTGCCACTCCAGATTGATTCTTTTGATGACATGTGTACTCGACTTCGCCTCCTTGATGCTGAGATTAAGGGTTATGGCTATGAAATTGAGCCAAAGAGGGACTCCCCGGGCCGTTTCTCTTCCTTCATGAGGCCTAGTGGTGGGATTGGCAAGAGAAGTGGGTTCAATCTAGGAAGCTCTAGCAAGAAGAGCCGCTTTCAGAGCAGACAGTCACAGAGGCCCCCACTTCCAAGAAGTAATGCTAGTGGGAGCCAACCATCATTCAGAGGCTCTACTGTTTCTGCACCCAGCACTGCACGTGCTCCAGCATGTTCTAAGTGTGGCAAGCATCATTAGGGCAAGTGTTGGACTTGCTTTACTGGTGGCAAGGTTGGACATATTTCTCGCTATTGCACTGCAAACAAACAGAGTGTACCGGAGACCCGATCTACCATTCCTGGTCGTGTGTTTGCGTTGACTCAAGAGGAGGCCGGTGCGTCTCCTAAGTTGATTAGAGGTATCATTTCTCTCCAAGGTCACAGTATACATGCATTATTTGACTCTGGTGCTACACATTCTTTTATTGCTTTTGAATGTGCTAAGCGATTGAACTTGCATGTTTATGATTTGCCTTTTGATATGAATGTTTCGACACCTGCTGGATCTTCTGTAAAAACTTCAAATGCATGCTTGAATCTTGTGTTGGAGTTTGAGAGTCACAAGATAAAGATTGATTTGATTTGTTTGCCCCTTAAGGGTCTTGATGTGATTATGGGTATGGATTGGCTAACAGCTAATGGTGCCACGCTTGATTGTAAAGCAAAAACTGTTTCTTTGCCTGTGTATTGCATGCGTATAGAGGTGTCTAGTGGCCCTCCTCTGTTATCAGCTGTTCAAGTTGAAAGTTGTATAAAGCAAGGATGTCAGGCCTTTATGGTCTTCTTTTCTGTGCAAGCTAAGATAGAGGAAGGGATTGATGAAATTGAGATTGTGAATGAGTTTCTTGAGGTATTTCCCAAAGAAGTGTCAAGATTACCCCCTGAGCGGGAGGTAGAGTTTTCTATTGATTTGCCTCCTGGGACAAAGCCTATCTCTAAGGCTCCCTATCGAATGGCTCCTGTTGAATTGGCAGAACTAAAGAAGCAGCTTAAAGAATTACTTGAGAAAGGATTCATCAGACCAAGTGTGTCGCCATAGGGATCACCGGTGCTATTTGTGAAGAAAAAGGATGGAACCTTGCGGTTATGTATTGATTATCGACAATTAAACAAAGTCACCATCAAGAATAAATACCCACTACCAAGAATTGATGATTTGTTAGATCAGTTGGTGGGGTCAGCAGTATTCTCTAAGATTGACTTGAAGTCGGGATACCATCAATTAAGAGTTAAAGCAGAAAATGTTCCTAAGACTGCTTTTCGTACTCGGTACGGTCACTATGAGTTTCTTATGATGCATTTGGCCTAACTAATGCCCTGGCTGCATTCATGGATTATATGAACAGGATCTTCAGACCCTATTTGGATAAGTTTGTGGTGGTGTTTATAGATGACATTCTCATCTACTCACAGAATGAAGAAGAACACCGTGAGCACCTTAGAATAGTGTTACAAGTATTGAGGGAGCACAAGCTCTATGCTAAATTGAGCAAGTGTGAGTTTTGGCTCAAGGAAGTGAAGTTTTTGGGGCATGTTGTTTCAGCTGAAGGGGTTGCAGTAGACCCTACAAAAGTTGATGCAGTTCTTAAGTGGGAGCAACCAAAGTCAGTGACTGAAGTGAGAAGTTTCCTGGGTCTAGCTGGTTACTATAGGAGGGTCGTATAAGGATTCTCTCAGTTGGCTATGCCACTTACTAAGTTGACCAAGAAAGACCAACCATTCATTTGGACAGAGAAGTGTGAAGCCGCCTTTCAAGAGTTGAAAAAGAAGTTGACTTCTGCACCAGTATTGGTTATTCCTGATCCCGCATTGTCATACACCCTTTACACTGATGCTTCTTTAAAAGGTTTAGGGTGTATATTAATGCAAGAAGGAAAAGTTGTTGCTTATGCTTCCAGACAGTTGAGACCACATGAGGAAAATTACCCAACTCATGACTTAGAGTTAGCAGCAGTGGTATTTGCATTGAAGATATGGAGACACTACTTATATGGTTCACAATTTGATGCTTTTAGTGACCACAAGAGTTTGAAGTATCTGGTGGATCAAAAGGAGCTTAATAATCGACAGAGAAGGTGGATGGAGTTTCTAAAAGACTATGACTTCCAATTGAAATATCATCCTGGTAAAGTGAATGTTGTCGCTGATGTTTTGAGTAGAAAAGTTGTTCATGTATTTCAACTGAGTCTCTATGAGAACCATTTGTTAGAAAGGGTGAAGGACACTGATGTGCTAGCTGATATGGATACAATCTTGCAGGCCATGCGGATTGAGAATGAATTCTGGAAGGAGCTCAAGATAGCTCAGTTAGAGGATGACTATTTATTGAAGGTTAGGGAAGAACTAGAAGAAGGAGAAGTAAGTGATTTTGAAGTTGGCGAAGATGGAATTTTGAGATTCAAAGAGAGAGTATGTATCCCTAATGATGGAAAATCCAAGCAATACATCTTAGAGGAAGCTCATCGAAGTAGGTACACCATACATCCAGGAATCACTAAGATGTACAATGATCTAAAGCAGAACTATTAGTGGCCTGGAATGAAGAAAGATGTGACAGAATTTGTCTCCCATTGTTTGACTTGCCAAAAGGTCAAAATTGAGATCAGAAGCCACCAGGGTACTTCAAAATTTAGAGATACCGAAATGGAAATGGGATAGTATATCTATGGATTTTGTTATGGGGCTACCGAGAACACCTAGTAATTATGATGCCATTTGGGTGATTGTTGATCGTTTGACCAAGTCTGCTCACTTCTTGCCTATACGAGCTACTTATACAATGGAACAATATGCTCAATTATATGTGAAGGAGATTGTCAGATTGCATGGTGTGCCAGAGAGCATTATCTCTGATAGGGATCCAAGGTTCACGTCAGGTTTTTGGAGAGCCTTACACCGAGCTATGGGTTCTAGATTGAAATATAGTACAACTTATCATCCACAAACCGATGGACAAACGGAGAGGACAATCCAAACCTTAGAAGACATGTTGAGGGCATGTGCCATTGAATTGAGGGGTAGCTGGGACAGTCACTTGCCACTGGCTGAGTTTGCATATAATAATAGCTATCACTCGAGCATACAGATGGCGCCTTATGAGGCATTGTACGGCAGGAAGTGTAGATTGCCATTGTGTTGGACAGAATTGAGTGAAAGAACTATCATCGGCCCTGATTACGTTGATCGCACTATAGAAAAGATTGAAATGATTAAAAAGAAGTTGTTGGCAGCTCAGAGTAGACAGAAGAGCTATGCGGATAAACAACGAAGACCCTTGGAATTTTGTGTTGGTGATCATGTATTTCTACGTGTCACTCCAATGACAGGCATTGGAAGGTCTATCAAAGCCAAGAAATAGAGTCCAAGATTCATGGGTCCATATAAGATTCTTGCAAGAGTTGGTGAAGTAGCATACCAGATTGCATTGCCACCACAGCTAGACAGGGTTCATAATGTGTTTCATGTGTCACAATTGAAGAAGTATCAACCTGATCCCTCACACATCATTGAGCCTGAAGAGGTTGAACTCCGTGAGAATTTGACTTACCGGACAGAACCGGAGCGAGTTGTTGATGTGAAGGAGAAACAACTAAGAAATAAGACAATTCGACTTGTGAAAGTCATATGGAAGGGTATGGCTCCCGATGATGCTACTTGGGAAACGGAAGAGAAGATGCGATAATCTTATCCTCATCTTTTTACTTAGGTGCGTAGAATTCCTACTAAATTGAATTTTGAGGACAAAATTCCTATTTAGGAGGGGAGAGTTGTAACATTCCATTTTTTTTTCTTTATCTTATTATAGGATTTTGGTTATATGGGTGAGATTAATTCATAATATTTAATATTAAAGCTTATTAAAAAAAATGGAATGTTACACTACCGGCTTAACTTTTAACAAAAATTTGGAAGGGTCTTCAGCATTAATTATTTCATCTTTGGGGTTTGACCATTCCTATGGTTAGTATCTCTAACCATAAACCCTAACGGCTTTCTTCTAATGTCCACATAGCTTTTCCATCTACTTTATACAGTTGACAATCCTTGTCAATTATCTTCATTTATCCTCAAACTTGATCCATCCTCTTTGGACTATAAACTCTTCTTATATTTAGTTTAGTCTACCACAGTGGTGATCGACACTTCCTGCTATATAAGGCTTCACACTAAGCCATCTGTATGCTGGAATGGTAACTATTATCTCAGGCAATGTCTGCCTTTAACAGGTGTGTTGGCACATTCAACCATCCTTCTCTTTACCTTAAAGGTCTATATTCCTTCTTTTACCTTTTCATTTCACAATTAGCTTGCCTAAATATGCACTGTTTAGGACTTGTAGCTCTTGGCCCAATCAATAACAATGGTGTCTGTTAAAAAAGTCAAGGTATTCTTTGTGTACTAGTTAACCACTGGAGGGGCCTTCTGTTTCTTAAACTCTTCCCTGGTCATTCCGTTATCAAGCTTCAAGAGAAATCACCCTCACGGCTTAACATGTCATCTTATTCCTGTGTCTCGAGAGGCATTACCCTCTCGGCTTAGCATGTCATCCCATTCTCATACCTTGAGAGGCATCATCCTCTTGGCTTAGCACCTTTCCTTTTGGCTTGGTTTATTGTGACCTTGGGAGCCATTGTGCTCTACTGTAAGCCCCTTTAGGATCTACTATGACCTTGGAATGTCATCTTCGTCAATTTGCCATGTTAAGATTTGTAGAAGATCTCAGATCATGGGATTGAGTAATAAAATAAGTCACCTCTACTTTGCGGGTAACTTGACTGATTATTCCCCAAGACTGATCACAAACGCTAGTATTGCCTTCTTAGATCTTACTTAATACTTCTGGCCAACTTTGGAATTCTTAGTCTCTTCATGTTTCTTTAACCCTTGAGTTTATTTTAGGTCACTTTCCTTTCATGGTGCCTCTTGAATTTTCAGGCACTAGCTCACCTATCAAGCTTATTAGCTTATCATCATGTTAATACTGATCTACCTTAGCTTAAGACTCTATAGTCCTTGCTGCCTCTTGTCAATCCAAAGCAGTATCAGGAGATGACTTATATCATCATGTTCTCATTACCCATTACCATACTACGGTACCTTGTTAAGTTTGAGGAGTCTCATATATCTGCCTCATAATACCTTTCTATTACTCTTGACCAATTTCACTCTCTTTAGGATAAGATCTACTCCGCGTCTTGCCTCAGCTGCATCCCATAATCCTCATTAGAGGATTTGCCCTTGTGGGCAAACATATTGCTCATACTAGCACAATTGGTAGTCCTCATTTCCAAAATTAGCAATGGAGGATACATCATTATCAACTCTATTTGGGTTATTCACTATAAGTCCTATTGAGAATGGCTTACTCTCATAAAAGCAATATAATTTCTGTGATAAAGGATCACATCCACTTTCAGAGAGGTACTTTGTGACCAAGACTTTCCTTGCATTCAATCTCTACCAGGGTGTACTCCTTGATTACCATATCCCTATCAAAGGAAGCCTCTCCACTAAAATTATCTAATCCCATAGGCAGTGGTGCCTCTTAATAGGGATTTTGTTTCTCTAGATTCCACCCTGGCCTGGGTGTTGTGGTTGCACATTCTTAATCATTTTAGGGACATGAAAGAGCAATACACTCCCTAACATTATCGATTATTTTAGCATCATCAGGTTTTAGGTATCGTTAAGAATTTCCTTATCTTTCATTACAATTCAGTTACCAGTGCAACTTTTAACTATTGCATTCTCATCTATTTCTATCCAACTCCATCCTTAAGGCTTTGTTTGGTTCAATGGAAGGGAGGGGAGGGGAGGTTAATTAAAGGAAGGGGAGGGGAGGGGAAGGGAGGTCATGGTTTTGTTTGGTTGGAGGGGAGGGGAAGGGAGGGGAGATTTCTTGTTTGGTTCATAAGGGGAGGGGAGGGGAGGGGAGGCAATTATAAATTGACAAATATACCCTTATATCTATATTTAGACTAATTTATTTTTTTAATACACACACGATATAATATATAATTATAATACACACATGTTATGATATGTATATATTAATACATATGATATGTATATATTATATAATTATATATTATATTATTATTATCAAATATTATTAGTGGCTAAAAAGAGAAAGAAGTGAAAAAATATTTTTAATAAGATGGACAAACTTGGAATATTAAAAAATTAGTATGGGTAGTTTGGTCAATATTACACATAATATTTCTCTCCCCTCCAAAAACCCCAAATTTGGAGGGGAGCATGGGGAGGGGAGGGGAGCACTAAAAGACAAATTTCTTCCCTCCCCTCCCCTCTATTTTTCCCAACCAAACACACTTATTTCCTCTCCTCCCCTCCTCTCTCCTCCTCTCCCCTCAACAACCCTCCAACCAAACAAAGCCTAAGAGGGATCTTGCCTGACATAACTTTTCTAACTTCTCTACTTTCTGACCAATCATTCCTATGGTTAGACATTGATTATCATGTGCTAATCACATTACATAGCAGTGATTTATCACCTTGCTGTGTGGTGTCTAGTCAGGCATCTAACTCATCATTAGTTCTTCATTCAACATCATCCACTCGCTAACCCTCTTGGTCTACTATCCCTTAGAAATTTCTCTCATTATTCAGGGATTTAACAAACCTCAAACATTCCGTCCTATCAT